CTCCCTCTCCCTCTCCCTCTCCCTCCTTCCCTCTCTCCCTCCCTCCTTCCTTCCCTCCCTCCCTCCCTCCCTCCCTCCCTCTTCCTCTCCTCCTCCCCCTCCCCCAGGCATACGTCTCTTAACATTGAAGGTTTTCACGCTGTTTGTTTATTACCGCTTGTGCTGCCATCTATCGGTGGTTATCGGGCTTTATATTCTTCGATTTTTAATCTTGTTCCTTTCTAAAGCTATCGTTTTTTTTTTTTTGTTTTTTTTTTTTTTGTCTTTCCTTTTTGTATTTCATCTTTTCGTTTTCTCCCTCTCTTTCTCTCTCTCTCTTTTTCTTTTTTCTTTTTTTTCTTTTTTTTTTTTTTTTGGCCATGGATGCAAATTGAACGGTTGGTCGTGAAAGTTTGATAATGGTCTCTTTCAGGAGATTAGATGAATTATTGGCTTGTTCCGTCGTCAGCCCATTTCTCTTCTTTATTTCTCTCTTCTTTCTACAGTTTTTTTTTTCGCATTTTTGTCTTTTGTCAAATTCGAGTCCATGGAAACGCCGATTCATTTTGGTGAAGACAATGCTGTGACTTTGCCATTTCCCCCAAGACACCTGTGTTTCTGGACGAGAATTGGGGGGGGGGTTGTCTCCCCTCTCCCCATCTCTCTCCTAAGATCTTTCATCTTATCTCCCGTTTGCCTTCCCAATTTGCCTCCTCACCTCTCTCTCTCTCTCTCTCTCTCTCTCTCTCTCTCTCTCTCTCTCTCTCTCTCTCTCTCTCTCTCTCTCTCTCTCTCTCTCTCTCTCGCCTCTTCTGTCATTTCCGTATTCAGCCCTCGCCTCATATTCCCTCTTATCCCCAAATAACTACCATTCCTCGTCCTTCCCCTCCCCTCCCCACCCCTATCCACTTTGCATCCCCTCCCCTTCCCCTCCTCGATCAACTTCTCCTCCCCCCCTGCCCTCCCCTCCCTTCCCCACCCCTTTTCGAGCAACGTCTCCCTCCTCCCCTTCCCCTCCTCGAACAACTTCTCCCCCCCCTCCCCTCCCCTCCTCTCCCCCAGCACTCCGAAGTATCCAGCAAATATTTGCTCCGGATACCACATTAGCGAGATGCATTTGTTTACTGGGTCGAGTTTTAACTCATTACTTTGCATAAATGTTTTCCCAAGGAGAAAATTCTCAAAAGTTCATACATACGTCTTCCAGGCCTCGAGAAGTTGGGGAAGAGGGAGAGGGGGAGGGGGAGGGAGAGGGAGAGGGAAGGAGAGGGAGAGAAGACAGAGGAAACTGAGAATGAGAGTGAGAGCAAGATTGTGTAAGCTAATAGGAAGGAGGGACACACACAAACACAAAGAAAGAGAGAGTGTAACACCTTCACCTCTCCGATATATATATATACATACATACATATATATATACACACTTTTTTGTTTTTGTTTTTGAGATACCGCTTAAGGGCCTTGTTCAGTCCAAACTTCATTCTGTCCCCATGGATCTCACGGGGTGTGTGTGTGTGGGGGGGGGGGAGGGGTTAGTTGTGCGCGTCGAGGGAGTGCCAGGGACGTCCCTCAGTGGGGGTAAGAAGGGGACGGGGTGGGGGGGATGGGAATTGGTGGGGGATGGAGGGGAGGGGTGTAGGCGGAGACTCAGGGACTAAGGAACAGGAAGAGTTTGGGGAAGAGGAAGGAGGGAGACGTGTGGGGAAGAGGGGAGAAATGCGTAGTTAAAGGGGGAAAGAGGGGAAGAGAAAGAGGACTGAGGCGAGGCGAGGGGAAGAGAAAAGACGAGAGAGGCATGAGGGGAGGTGGGGGAAGGAGGGAGGCATTAAAGCTCTTTGTTAAGCATGCCTGGAAGTATTCATTGGAGGGAAACAAGTTCTTAGAAGTAATTTTTTCTTTTGTTCAGACTTTTTTCCTTCCTCCTTTTGGGGGGATAATATATAGGCCTACATATATATTTTTGTTCTGTTGAAGTCGTTGTTTATTCCTATGGAGAGAAGACGTCATGGTTTTTTATCATCCTATAAAAAATATATATTATCAGCACTTGTAAAGATGACCTTTTTTTCTATTTATTTTTCTCCTTTTTTACATCCCTTTTTCAGAAAGGAAGAAACGAAAGAAATAAACAAAGAAACAGAGAAAGAAAGGAAAATTAATATACATAAAGACAAAGAAAAGAAGAAAGAAAGGTCGAAAGAAAGAACAAAAGAAAGGAAAAAATAGTACGAAAAAAAAGTCAAAACGAACGAGACGCTAGAGAACTCACTTGGCAACTGCTGGCAGAGAGAGAGAGAGAGAGAGAGAGAGAGAGAGAGAGAGAGAGAGAGAGAGAGAGAGAGAGAGAGAGAGAGAGAGAGAGAGAGAGAGAGAGAGGGAGGGAGGCTAGAGAGAGAGGAGAGGAGAGAGAGAGAGGAGAGAGAGAGAGAGAGAGAGAGAGAGAGAGAGAGAGAGAGAGAGAGAGAGAGAGAGAGAGAGAGAGGAGGGAGGGAGGGAGAGGGGAGGAGGGGGGAGGGAGGGAGGAAGAGAGGGGGAGAGAAAGAGAGGGAGAGAGAGAGAGAAAGGGAGGGAGAGAGAGAAAGAGTGAGTGTGTGTGTGTGTGTCAGAGAGAGAGAG